CACAAGAGATGTTACATGTAAAAACGTGTGGGTGTGGTTTCAACAGCAAATGATGACTCCGAATACCAACTACGGCCAAAGTGAACGATTTTCAATGGCCCAGTTCGAAATCTTTTATCTTCAGAAAGTAGTTAGGCCAATTTAGATGATGGCGAACTTTAATTCCAGAGCAATCAGGGTTTCGCCGGTTGTTGCATTCAAGCGGACAACTGTCTTACCCTAACCCGATTTCCGACTAAGTATTGATTTATTTGGCGTGGGAAAGCAATGGGGCGAGGAAGGTATCTCTTCTTGAACAACAAAGTAGTATGAGAAGTTTTCTGAAAGTGTTCGCAGCACCCAGACGCAAAAGGGCGAAGGTGTTCAAGAACCCAGGTTAAAGGGGTCATAAAATTTTGTTTTATGGCCTAGATGAGAAAGGGGTGCGAGTGGCCAGTTCACAACGTGCTGGTGGCGCGCTGCTCCATGAGAACGCGACCCACCCCGTGACACCCGACATAAACTCGCCGGGCTCTCAGGACCAGAATGGGCATAACTACACGGAGGAATCAAGAATGTGCATCAAAAGCGTCACCTCACTAAATTCACTCGCGCTGGCTAACATAAATCAACTGGACACAAGAGCATGGTGGCTTGTGATTCGGTCCTTCACTAAAGCTATCCTCACCAAAGACTCCTTTAATTCAAGGTCATGCTCGGACACTCAGTTCACTCCCTGGTATTAGAGGAAGTGAACATTCTGTTACCCGATAAATGATACCTAGGGTAGTGGTATTCACGAGGTCAAGCTAGAGAGTTGAGATCAACCTTATTCAAAAGGCCGATTTAGACAATAGCTGGAATCTGCAATAGGACGGTCGAAAAGTGTATAGACAGTTCTGAAAACGGAATGACAACTTCGATATCGAATTGAATTGCAGGTTTACAAATAAGTGGAGAGACATGAAAATTGATCGGAATTGCACGCAGCCCACAGTTAACACTGAAACAAACCTGACGATGAGAGCGGGGATGTGCAGAGCCTGTTAGAAGAGGCACCTTGAAGGTCGGAGTGGAAGTGACCTGCAGCGCTTCGGGTGTAGGGATACGTCGGCATGGAGTCGACACCGCTCGGGGGAAAGTCCTCAATTGAAATGCACATAACAGTAAAATCAACTTCTGGGCTAAGTTGAAGACACAGAAAGGGCAATTGATGCGGACGTTAGAAGGTCTTTAGCATGGATTGACGTCACAAATCTAATCGGTGAAAGCATTTTGATTAATTATAATCTCCGGTTAGATGACCGCATCCCTTTGTTCAAGGCGGAGGGAAGTGGACATAGCTTGTGACTGCAGAACGAAATGTCTCGAGTAATCACAAATCATGCACAAATGTCCACCATCAACCGGTAAAATGTGAAGAGACGTTCAGATAAAAAATCGAAAATCTGCCTTTCTTAATAAACTTAGAAGCACAAACAAATGCAGTCTTTGAGAAAAAACAGCGCAGATAACAATTGAGTGCGTGGAGTCGCCCATTTACGGTATTTAAGGTGAGTAAGTTTGTGGGAAGATTAGTATTGAAAAGGGTATTTAACAGGTAGGAGGAGTTAGGCGACCTTACAACGTCGAAGTACGTAAAAGAGCGAACGCTCACCAGCGAGTCGGCTTGTAGATTAATAAGAGGACCGGGAGATGGAACATGGTGCTGGCGATAGTTGGAGGAAGACAGGGTATCACGGTTTGTCGTGGGCGAGTGACTGAACGCCGGGTAGTGGTGGTGGTGGTGGTGAAGGTAGTGACCGGCGCCTTGTTCCGCTGCGTTCGGCACCAGAGAGGGCCACTGTTCGCTGATTGAGACGGCTTCCCCTTAAGAGGCAACGCACAAAATATGCATGCTGTTATGCACGCACTCACACACACCCGCCTTACCAACAGTTGGAAAGTAACACCACACTCCAGCTAAAGTAGACGGTATCACGTCTGAGAGGAGGTACAATAAATGTAAATGAGGCTACGCAAGCTTCGTGACCCTGTGTTTACTAAAGACGCAGCTATGCAAGGGGGCAAACTCGCCAGACTAAACGGACCTCGGCTCTTCGTACAAGTACCATGTGAGGTAAAAAATCCGGTGTCAAAACTAGTTATGCTGCAAAGCGATTTCGCCCTAAAGCACTAATACATTCACGTGTTTTGCTAAATCGCCCATTTACGGTAATTATGCATGTACGCAGGAAGCAAGAAACACGCAACGGTCAAATCCATCATGAAATTCCACTTTCGTGAAATACATCAACAGGTCTCATATCTGCAATCTAGGCCCGGGCCATGCCTGTTGGACAGCACTGCTACGCCTAGCTGCACATAAATACAGGAGTAGCAGTTACATGAAAATGGATATAGGTGGTTACGAGCTGGGTGCGATGACGATAGGGGACAAACAGAAAGGTGCTGTTCCCGTTCGAGGATAAAGGCGACGACATACCAAGGCACCGCCACCACCACCACCGCCGCCGCCGAACACAGGGCGAGGAGGCGGAGGAGGAGGATCGATTGCTCGGCTGCGTGCGTGCCCCGTGGGCGCGCGCGTGTGCACACCGCGCGCGCGCGGATTAGCCGAGATTTCGGACACGTTGGGGATACGATTGCCCAAATTCAACCCATCATCAGAGATATACGTAACGAGCAAGTCTGCGAGTAATTAAGGTACCTGTTGCTGTTTGCTTAGATGGCTCAATGTTAAGACCCGATGAACAAAATCAACTCATACCCCACCAAATCCCCCAATTTGTTGAGATCCCTCACTGGTAGTAGCCCAAATGTAGGCACTATTGTTTTGTACGTTGAGTTTGATAAACCACGTTGAGAATGGTCAAGATGTGCTGGACAAGAATATAGACGGGACAAGGCAAGGTAGAAGAAGCAGAGAATCAATAAAATGTTTAATCCAAAGAACACACACCAGTAGATCCACTGTAAAAGGAGGAATAGGCACTCGAGCAGGTTTCCGGTTTGACACTGCTGGAACTAGTGAGGGCAGCGGAGAATGAGGTGGTGAGGGTTGTGTAATGTCTTGGTTCATCTTCGTGTGAAGGCTTCTCGGAGTCCGCAGGAATCGTCGGGTTTGACGCAGCTGACGAGGTGGGAGGGGGATTGGCAGAAGCGGCACCGGCGATGGATGATGCAGTGGGATTAGCGCTGACCGGTGTTGGTGTCTTTATGGTGCGATCCGATGACGCCGTCGGGAGGGCCTAAACAAATCGAATTGCCTTTTACAAACCAAATCAGGTCAAGAGGCAAAAGATGAGTTCTGTTTATGGAGAAACATCGCCACACGACGGCATATGAGGAGGAATTAGGTGCAGAGTAAGGCGAACAAATAATTGTAGCAAGAGCACT